GGCTTTATTGTTCCTTGCATGCAATAAACTCATCTGTTTTACTTCATCTCGGGATCAAGAACCTTATTTCTTCTGTTACAACACTAGTAACAATTAAGCCAGTGTGAAGACTGAAAAAAAGAACTGGATCTACTCCTGAGATAATGAAGGAAATGTACACATGAAAGAGAATGGTCATGCTTACAGTATGTAACAAAACCCATTTAAATGTTCTACAAAAAGGCACATACAGTACTATACCTTATATTTGTTAGTTCCTGCCCACTTGTATCCAGCTGAACCTTCTGACTCGCTGCAGAATCTTTCAGATTCAGAATCTCCTTGTTATGCTCCACCACTTGAGACGACAGCGTGTGAACAAGACTGGTATGTTGTTTCAACAAGGTCTCAAAATTTTCATTACTGCTAGTAAGCCCTTCTAGATTTTGGACCAACATGGAATTCTCATTTCGGACCTCCTCCAGCATTTGGTCTTGGGCTGAGAAAGTTTTCTCTAAAGAGTCCACCTTCCCGAGGTAATCTGTGACAGAATCTGAGAGGGATTTCAGGTGTTCTCCCTGCTGAGAGCTTGTGTTAATGACAATAGTGACCTGTTGCTTTAGCAAATCCAACTCTTTGGTCGTAACCTCCAATAGGCTCTGGAGTTCAATCATCTCATCTCTTGGGATCATGGTCTCCTGTAAGGCATTTAGTCTAGTATTCATCTGTGTATGAAGTGTAGATACTCTGGCAGCTAGTTCAGAGAATCTCAGCTCTTCAATAGTGGTGACTGACTTTTCAACATGCTTCTGCAACAGCCTGTGTTCTTCTTCCAGATTGAAGAGTCTCTGCTCATATCCCTCGGAGCTGTAAAGCTGTACAGAAATGTGAAAAGATACTGAAAGGTAAAATTTGGATTTCTGTCATTCATAATTTTTTACAGAATAGTAGCATCTATAGGGGGTTAAAGAGAACCCCACTGGTAAGAAAGGCTTCCTGTATGAGTGCCTTTTAATGTATAAAATTGACTTTTTAATCAAAAATGCAAAGAGGGCTGAAATATAAAACACCGACCAAAATACTTTATTATGTGTGAAGAGGCCCTTTGATATGATATGATATGATACTATTTTTTCCCATGTCAAATTCACCTGAAGCATTTTTACTGGCTCCTAATGTGAATTATGTAACAAATGTATTTGCCAACACATTTAATATTTAATTTAATGCAAATTAAATATACTGAATGCTGTATAGCATGTATAAAGTGAATACAAAGCAAAAGCATTCAGTACACATGCAACAACAGTACAAACACAGCTAAATTAATGCATAGCACATGAAGTGTTTAACTAATTTCTTTTTTATTTAACCGTCTTCGCTCTGAGGTGCGTTTAATATTGTTTCTAATATAGTACTAACACTACAAGATAGGAAAAATTTAATTAAAAGGCGAAAGAATGAGTCATTTTTAACCTGACAAGACAAGCAAATTGGATTCAAGACCTCCTGTTTAATTTACTGTTAGTTTATTTACTTTTACAGTACTTGTTGTTCTTCCTATACCTCTTTTCTTACCTCATATAGCATTTGTTTTAAGGATGCTAGGCAACCTACAGTAATAGAATTAGGCAGACTCAAAAGACTTCCTCTTGCAAAACTATTTTTATCTTGGGCAAGAAATAATTCTGATACCCATGGAAAGGCTTTGATGCTCCTCTGCAGACACCCCGTAGCCTAAGGGTGTTAATGTCACAAATATATCATGCAACTTACAGTAGCTATACTTTACCTCATAGTAATGCTAGTGCTCATTTTTCCAATAGTAACTCTACTAAAGTAGTTCTAGTCTTGTATTCTCCCTCTATTCAATGGCTATCATTGTTTCTGTGTACATTTTATTAAACTTAAACAAGGTAGGTGCCATGCCCTAAGTGTTATTACTCTGTATCAATGATTTATAATGTGAATACATGCTGTTCAGTGAATAATTCAACGCATGGAGTGAACAACTAATATTCACAATGTTCACAGCAAGCTGTTTTTTTATCTATTGATTATAGATTATGTGCCAATAAAAATGAAATAAATCTCTTAGTGTTCTGAGCATTTAAAAAGCTGAAGATTAAAAATGTTGCCTCATGAATTCCAAAACAGTTTACTTAGACAGTTAAACCTCACTTGCACAGATCCTTGTTGTACTGTACATTATTATTCTAGGGGGCTGCAATACTGGAAAATGTCGGAATGTACAGAATACCAATATGATAAATACTAGCACTCAAAGGCAGTCTAGCATGTGTAGCAAACTGAATTAACTATGCAGTAAAAGGCTTGAAGGTTTGTTGCCTAACCAGGTACTTCTAGGTAGCTGTAAAGCTCTGAAGGCCAGTCTTTCTTTAGTTCTTTTCTCACTGTGTTCTTATAGGTTTCCTCTGAGCACTCTAGTCTGCTTCCACCTTCCAGGTTAATTGGAGTCCCGAAACTGGGTGTGTATGGGTCTGCATGCTCATGTGTTTACGCATGCGTACCTGTACATGTCCATGCCATCCACAGTGGAATCCCGCCTTGTACCTGTGCTGACAGGATACTCTGGGACAATAGTACTGCTTAATTACCGCCAGGCTGAGAATGGTAAATCGGAAGGATCAGCTACTGTATATAGAGGGGAAATAATTTGCTTCAATATAGAGATATATTGTATATGTATCTGATATGCAATATAAAGTAGGTGTAGCAATTGTTTTTTTAATTCTTTAAACAATAAAGGCATACATAGTCTGTAAACTGCACTGCATATTATTTACAAAGTGAAAGGTGTATTGCATTGAATCTATTTAGTACCTGACAATAGACACTAGCACTGTTTACAGTATATAAAATGTGTAAGTAATAGTCAGTACTCTGAAAGCTCAGGTGAGGTTGAGGCAGGGCATGTTTCTAGGGGAGTTCAACTAGGGATGAACTGAGGAAGGCTCCACAGTCGAAACGTAGTGTCTCTTTTCTTTTCACATGGAATTAACCTTAACGTCTTTCTAGGAAGCCTAATAGCCACTTGGTAGTCAAGGTGGTGTTACAAAATCATTGTTTGACCCCCTAAAACTGTTGCCGGATTAGACTTACAGTTAGTCCTTGTGAGCACAAATAGCCTTTGAAAACGTGTTGCAGGTTCCTATTTTTGAATAGTAGGGTGCCAGAGATCAGTATTTACAAAAGCATAGCTGTGGTCTATATTTAATGATCTCTGACCTGACAAGTGGTTTAAAGTTTCAGTTATTACAGATGCAGGGCACTATGAATAACAAAGAAAATACTCCATTAAACCAATTCTGAATCATAGGGGAATGAATAATAAAACTATTTAAATTACATTGTATACTGTATACAGTATGTTCCCTTTGAAAAGGGTTCATTACATTTAAATAATATGGTTTTAGCAAAAAAAACATATTTTTTAATCTCTTGAATTTCATGCATAGAATAAATACATTTAAGGATCTGAAAGGAACTGACTTGGTTTTAGATTCTGATTTTTTGGTAAAATCAAGTGACAATAACAGTTGTGACTGTGAGTTATCACTCACAGGATTTTACAGGAGCTTTCATTTAGCAACTGAATAATATTAGAATTATGCAGTTACTTGCTAAAACTGTTATACAGTGTGTGTATATATAGTTTATACAGTATAACATATAGTTAGGGCAGGGCAGATGCATATTATGTAAATATGTAGTTTATTTGAAAGTAAATACAAGTATCCTTTGTAATGTTTAAATAATATCTTCATGCACTATTGAATACAGTAGGTTGTACTAGCTCTTGAGAGGATAAGGCTTAAAAATATTGGTATTGATAAGATACTGTTATCAGACTGCATAAAGTTAACAGAGCAGATCATAAGCTATGCTTTACAGTAACACCTCCACCATGACACACAACCAAAAGTGTACAAAAATCCTAGATGTCTTAAATTCTAGACATTTTCAGGTTGTAAGTACTGTAAAATACGATACCAGAAATTGGCCCCGTTGACCCAATGACAAATTCAAGGACCCCTCAAACTGCGATCTCTGATTTAAAAAATGGAAAATCCGAGTTCACGCTGGTCAAACGATTCGCAAAATTCTAAGTAACTTTTTGACAGCCATTTTGAAATCCATCTTTATCTAAAAAATAATAACAATAACAATAACATATCTTTATGTTCCGATTTGCACTTTTGTTTTTGGGCTAAATATTAATATGTATCCGTGCACTGTAAATGTATGCTCACTGTCACTAATCATAAAAAAGTCATCATACCTTTGCATTAACCTTTTGGACTTCTTCCTGGAGGGTTTGTAGCTGTGCTATTTTCAACTGCACGCCCCTGAGGTTGTCAGTCAGGAAACCTATGGTCTGGAGTTGCTGGGTGAAAAACCAGGAGGAGGTGACAACCCCGACCCCAATCAGGAAGAATAAAATGATCACTGATGTATTATACTTTCCATTTCTTGGTCCCCGCTCGAAAGAGTCGTCCTTAAAAGAGTTCTCTTCCTGCCTGTGGTTATTTTTCCCCTTCCGATGCTTAGCTGTCATTTTAAAAAA